GCCATCTCTCTACATCTGTCCCTATCTCTCGCCCCATCTCTGTCTGGCAGCTACGAGGTGCGGTACACGCCCACCAAATACATCGAGACGAACGAGGGCGGCCTGGTCCTGCTAGCGGTGAACGAGGGCGACGGCGGGCGGTACGACAGCTACTTGGATGGCACCCTGCTCTGCAGCTACGGCGTCACCGTGGACGCCCACAGGTGAGTCAGCGAGAAAATTGGAGTCAAAAAGGCAGCCAGTGCTGCCTATTGAAGGTGGCCCAAAAAGAAATCTATCCATTAACTTTAAATGAGTAAAAGAAATATTTAGTATTATAAAATTAGGAACAATTTCCCAATGTCATGTTAAATTTTTAACTTGGAGTTAGATTCCTGTTACAGAAAAAAGAGTTTCTCAATATTTGACAGACTCTGTAAGTATTTGTCGCTTTAGAATATGAATTATTTTAATTGAGATCCATATCGCCTTTCCCTAACAGATAAAAAGTTAAAAACTTAACCGGACATTGAGAAATCGGTTCTTAAACTAATTTTTACTATATGTTACTTGGAACCACCAGTAGGTTTATACTATTGGAGATATTTCAACGCAAACAAATCAAATTTATAAAGTTCTTAAGCAGAGAGAATTTAAATGGCTTAACTGAGGGTTAGGGAGAGATTAGTTGTGTTCATATTAAAATAATTATAATATCTTCTTATATATTCTATTATAATCTTCTTGATAAGCCAAATACACTGCATTATTATGGGAATTCAAGTTTTCAAAAGTTTATAGCCTTAAAATCCTTACTGTCTTATTGATTATCCATTGCCTCGTTATTAGATTGGAAAATATCCGACTTGGCAGCACTGTCTGCACGTGAAATCCAACCCCTCCAGGCTAATTTCCGCTGAAATGTCAAAAACTTATTGTTCGCTTTTCCCCATCCAGATGCTCGCCGCCGTCGCAGAAGCAGGACTACCAGAAAATCTACTCGCACTGGTGCAACGAGTTCGAGAAATACAAATCGGCCATGAAGCAATGGCAGGCCAAACAGGAGGTGTGTACCCATGGGAATTATATTTTCGGCTGGGCGCCAGCTGCCGTTAATTGTTTTAATTAATTTTTGGGCCTCAGGTGCGGGGGTGCTTTTTGAGTTTTAATTATTTTGTAATTCGCTGGCAGAGATCTAAGTACTTTTCCCCGCCTCTCTCTCTTTCGATTTCCCTTTATTAGCAATGCGGCCTCAAGGACAAAACAGGACCAATCAGCAGCAACGGCAAACACGTGAACGATGTGTTCAGCAACGATGCTTTGGTCTGACCCAGAAGTGAGTATCCTTGAGTCCCAGAAAATAGGACAACCCATTCTATCTTTAGTCCCTGCATAATCACAGCACTGCGAAAAAAGTAGTTATACTATCAAGAATTCATTCTATAGAGCTGAAAGTTAAATTGAGATTATACAAGGTACAACAAGCTAATCAAATTTGTAGTGCTTACTTTTAGCCACCTTTCAAAAAAAGATTCTAAGTCATCATAAATTTATTTTGGTATTCTCAAGATACGAAAATAATTATTTAAAATAAATTAACTTAACTTAGATAGAAAAAAAATGTTTTTTTATGTGCTCAGAACTTAAACCAAGATTTAGAGCTGAAAGCCAAACTGAGATTATAAAATTTATAGTGCATACTTTTCTGCACCTTTCCAGACGATTTTAAATTAGCATATCTTTGCTTCACTATCTTAAAATTTTTTACGGAAATACATATTTATTTAAAATGGAAGAACTGAGCTTAGATATTAAGTAAATGTTTTTAAAGCTGCAGAGCACTACAATCAAGAATTTGTTCCGTAGAGCTGAAAGTCATATACATTTTATTGCATACTTTTGGCAGCTTTCATAAAGTTTTTAATTACCAAACCATCGCTTTGGTATCCTGAATATTTAGGTCAAATGTTATCGTGAGATTTAAACTCTTGATTTTAGAGCTCGTTTTTTCGCAGTACACCCAACCATCATCATCATGTGTCCCAGCATAACCAGTATTTGTACTTTTAGTAGTACTACTTAGACCCTGACGAAATCTAACCAAAAGTGTCCTTTGTCCATCCCCCGCCCCCTTTTTCGGCTGCCGCTGACGCCCCTCAAAAATTGTTGTTGCCGCTGCCCAGAGTACTTGTACAGCTTTGAGTTCTTGTCGTCGTCGACGGAGGGCGTGGCCGCCGCCCACCGCAAATTGTACATTTTCGTGTTCGTGCTTACCATATTTGCTCGCTTCTAAAGTTTCTAGTTAAAATGTAAATGTAAGTTGAGTGCCCATGTAAGACAACCCACACTAACCCCCCGATTCTACCCTCTTTCCCGCAACTTCTGCCCACTCAATCTCACTTTCTATATATCTAAGCATATTTGCTTTATTTGGGCTTACTCTGTTTGCAGGCGCAGAAAAGCAGTAAGCACCCGAGGAAAATGCGGAGAACAACTATGAAAATGTGACAAGGGCCGAGCTGAGGAAAAACAAAATGAGAAAATAAGGAAAATGGAAAAAAAAAACCACTACAAGACTGAAATTTTTAAGCTTTTAAAATCGACAATATTTCCGATAATTTCGATGCGTTTTTTGGTCATACTTTCGTTTCGTTTTGAGATGTTGTCAGCGTCAAACTGAATAATTTTCGACATTAACTAACTGATATACAAAGATGGAGTAAACGAGAAAAGTTACTAGCAAAAGGATCCTGCCATAAGTCAAATGGAAATTACGGTTTTACACTCACACAAAGACACCTACAGAAGACACTATTTCTATTTCGAGCTAAGGTTAAGCTAATCTAACAGATACAGATACAGATATGGATACAGACAGATACAGATACAGCTACAGATACAGATGGAACTGCAACCACCTAAGTGAGAATCTGACCTAAAGTATTAACGTATTAACCGGGCTCATGAGGCGCAACGATTTGATTTTGATTTCGATTTGGTTCTGTTTCCGGCAACTCGTCGCTTGGCCATTCCGGGTTTGGGGTTGGGAAGATCTTAAACGAATTTGTATATTACTTAGCCATATTTGTTCGACTAAACGTAGCGTAAGGTATACATATACACGAGTAGCAGCCCCTGTTTAGGTCATAGACAAGTACGGAACCAACTTATTACGATAGCCAAAACCAGAAACGGAAATAATGTTTCGGAAAGCACACAAATGACGCACAGCAAAAACGGCTATATGGACTATATAGCTTAGGGCGAACATGTACATAGGAGAGCTTTAGAAGATAAGTATTAACCAGCATTGATTTGGACCCTTACTCGGCCACGATTTTAATTTGAAGTTCTGTATTCGGCATTAACTCGCTCTTGTATAGATTGTGCGTTGGCCTAATGTTTACGATAAGCAATACATAGTTATATATGCATATGCGTACTTATAAATAAATATAGATACATGAAGTTACTGCATTGAGACCAACATGCTCATGATTACTTACCCCGTAAATAGCGTAGGTAAGTTGGTGTGGCAAGTAAATTCGTTTTTAGTAATATTGCAGATATTCATTGTCACGAAACAAGGAGAAAACACTCAAAAACACGACTCGTTGCATTTAGTAAACATATTTATATCCGCGAAAACTGCCGTAATATAGCAAAAATCAAGGAAAACCCAAACGCTTCACTCAACCCAAAACCAAAAAAGGTTTTTTCACAGGAAAACAAAAAACACAAGAGGATAATGGAAAGAAAGTCTTGAACATTACCCTCACTCACTCACACTCTCTAAATATTTTTCTAAAGATTTTCTCTGCAAAAATTTTTAATGTTTTCATCTTAGGACTTAACCAAAACAAAAACATAAAATAAAGCAAACATTTTAGCATTGCATACGGGCATTGCCATTGTAAATGAACTAAACCAAAACCACAAAAAGAAAACTATTAAACAACAGATATTTAAAAGCTACTAATGCTCTGAGCTTCTAACTTTAATGGACGACATGTTTTTGCGTTGCCTTTAGTAGAGTTTTTTTGTTTAGACATTTATTGTAAATAATTTAAAGATTATGTGAAATGTTTTGTATGACAATCACATGATGTTGAGTAAAAAGTAAAACAAATGCAGAGTAAAGAGGAAATTAAATGGAAACTCGGAAAAAAACAAGCAAAAATATGAATTAAATTGCCAATGAGGCAATTAGAGATGGAAATTAATATTAATTGAGTACTTAACGAACAATTCACTGTAAAAATATTAATACAAGGTAAACAAATAATCGCGGTAAATATATATATACATAAATAGATAAACGACTTTTACAAAGTATTCATACAATAAAAGAAGATTTGCGCTTAACCATCATTCGAATATACCCAATTCAAGGTTCCATTCGAAACATTTCAAACGCAGATTGATTCACGAGCTATCGAAATATTTCCGGAAAACAACAAAATCAGATACAAGAAACAAATTAAGAAAACAAACTAGGTGTAAACACATAAAAAGTAAAATGCAGTAAATAAATGTGATAAGATTCTTTAATAAGCAAGTCAAAAGTTGTTGTGGTCTTTTATTTGGGGAGGCGACTGTAAAAGGGGGAACAAAGGGAACTGTTCTTAGTCGAAATCGAATTCGATTTCGAACGTTCATGGAACTCAGCCTATATTTATTCGAAAAGAGTAATGTTTTGGAGAGCGGAAAGTGAGCGAAAAGAGCGATAAGAAGAGAGTCTTGGAAGAATCTAAATAGCCTTGAAGAGTTGAACTTGTAATACTCTTCTCGTAATACAAATCTAATTGGTAAGTATGGGTGTTAAGGTTTAATTATTGAGTTATCATCAATTGGTATTTTATCTGATCATGTAGTAACACATAATTTTCAGTATAAGTAAAATTGGCATATTTATTATGGTATATACCCTTAGTTACAAACCTTTTATAAAAATCAAGATTACCATTTTTAAAAGAGTAAGAGCAATACCAAAACGCACATTTTAATCTCATCTGAAAAAATTTGAGTAGGTAGTATAAAACAAACCGCTTACCGAGTAGCATTGATTACCATTAATCATAAACCAAGTATACAAGATAATCAGCAAAAATGTCAACCTTACGACTGGCTCTTCAATTCATTCTGCTTGGCCTCGTACTAGTTTCGGGAAAGTTTCGCTATTACAGAAAGTTTAGATACTCCCCGGAGCTGATAAGCGAGTTGAAAGACTTTGAAAAACTGATACCCACTGTCACCATCGACGAATTAGTCGCCGAGCACATGATTACGGACTCGGGTTTTCGCAAAGCCATCAAGTTTTTGCGCAGCTCCGATTTCAAGACGTTGCAGCGCCGCACTGAGTCTCTGCCAGAAGTTGTGGATCTGATTAATTTTGTGCACCTGAATGATACGGTCCAAAGAAAAAAGCACCATGACAATTACAACAGATTACGGAGGTCAGTTGGAAACGATATCGGAGAGGAGATTATTTTGGTGCTACTTGACCCGATCTACGAGACCAAACAGTTGAGTTCTTTTACCAGCTTTGTGCAGGAACTACTCACACATCTGCCCCGAGATCGATTTGTGGCTTTGATCAATGAAAAGCGACAGAAAAGTGATATATTTGCTGAATTCTATACGGCATTGAAAAGTGCTGAGTTCAAGACAAAATCTGAAGCAGCTTGGGTAAGAATCATTAGTTTATGATCAGAGGAAGAAGACAAAACGCTGATAATGCATTTTAATAATAAGTCATTGTTGATATTCCTTGGAATCTAAACAAATTTATAACTGAAGAAAAAAACAGGTAGCGAAAAAAATGATTTTAATAATAGAGGATAACTTAATGTTGGTTCTAAGCTACCATAGATATTGTTTTAAAACAAAATGCATAACATTTGTCGACTTTTCTCTGTGAAGCACTATTATATCTTATATATTTAGGCACCTCCATTAATTTCAGAACACCTCCAATGTCCAAAGCGTGGTTCGAGAGCTCTCAGGTCATTCCATCAATGCGCAGGAACTGAAAACAATTGGCTATGAAGTCATCTCCTGGGGTCCAACGTAGTGTGAGAAATGCCTGACAAGTTAAGCCTAATAAAATCGGAACTTATCATGTGTCGATTTCTACGGCCACCTGTATAAAAATATGTGGCTAATAAAAATTCCAGCTGGGCTCTCCATTCATGCCAAAAGGCCAACGCCGCCTGATAATAAACGATAGCCGGAAAATGCAGTGAAAAACCTAAGCAAATAACTCAATGTGACAAGCGGACACAATGCCGGGTTGCATTTCATTTTCCGTATTGATAAATGGAATGGAATATCATGCTTTCGCTCAGACGCACACCTGTCAAAGCCAGACTCGTGCAATTTAATTTGTCTGACTTTTTGTTGTGGCCATGTTTCCTACCATTTCATGGTGGTTGTTTCAATTATTTTATTGTCGTACGGCGATAGTTTCGAATGCAGTCAGTGGGGAATTCAGAAAGCAGCCAGAGGACCACCCCTGCATATACACATATATGGTATGGTATAGTATGGCCACACAGCATGAGTTGACACATGAAAATTGCATGCAATTAATTGCCCGACGGCGCACTTGTACTCCGACTTTGGTTCGAATCGAAATCAATATGCAGACTGGGGCAAACAACTGTTATTAGACATGATATGCCATGCAATTTGCCCCCCAGTTAGTGCAGCCCCCTAATCCCGACCCTCTGGTTAAGTCCATGTAATAATAACCCCGCAGTAAGTACAGGTCCTAGATGTTGAGCGTGTAGTATTTGCGGGACTCGGTGGTGGCGATAGTACGGTTCTGCATGCAGTAAACGTCGACGATATTCATGCGGTACTCCGGATTGTACATGGAGTTTTTGATGTACTCCATGGGGTTTTCCGGCTGTGGCCACAGGGTGGCCAATCCGCGGCGAAAGGCGTAGATAAAGATGGCCTCGGCCATTTGCAGGCTGATGCACTTAATCTTCCTCATTGGCGGGTAGACGTTCCGCTTCTCCAGATCGCAGGGCCACACCAGACTGGCCAATCTCTCAGCCGCCACGCAAAAGGCCTCATCTGGAATGGTGGTGAAACCAGCCAGCATCACGCCACAACTTAAACCCGCCACCAAGTAGGTACTGGTGCAATGACCCGGCTGATACCACTTGTTGGCATACTTCAGAGGTGGCAGCTTTGAACCCGAGATGAAGATGCAGCGACCCTTGGTATAGGAAAAGGCATCCTCCGCCGAACACTCGGCCTGTTCTCGGGGTCTGGACAAGGCAAATATCACCGGTTGATCGGAGCTCTTCTCCATGGCCCTCAGGACATCGGGGGTGAAGCTATTCGGCTGCGAAGAGCCACCCACCAGGACATTTGGCTTCAACTCCTGAATGGCCTCCACCAAAGTGGAGATCGGCTCTCGGGGATTAGCGAATTCCATCAGCTCCTCGGGAATGTCCTTCCTGCCCAGCACCACCAATCCGTTGGCGTCAAAGAACCAAACTTTCTCCCTTGCCTTCATTTCAATAATACCCTCCCTTTTCAGCAGGGCCATGCACAGTCTAGCCATTCCAATATTTATGGCATCGCCTCCGTAGAACAGGAAGATATTGGCCGAGAAGAAGACCCTCTTCAAGCGGTTGCAGACTATAACTCCGGCCAGAGCCACTGCAGCCAGGCACTGGAAGTCCACATCCACGATGCACTGGCGGGCACGGTACAACTTCAGTTGCTTCTTGGCCTTCTGGGCCTCGAAGTCCTTGCAAAGGATTAGGGCATGGGAACCATACTGCTGCAGCACGGCCAGGGTGAACTCCTCGAAGAACTGATCATACAGCTCGTCCGAGGCACGAGGCTCCTTCAATCCCGTATAGGCTGGATCCTGCAGCAGCTGCTCATTGTTGGTGCCCACATCCAGCATAACGGCCAAACAGTGATCCGGATGAAGGCCGCCAAAGACCACGCTGTTGTGGATATTGGAGAACAGCACAGGCATCTCATCCACACCCAGGTCACCCAGACTGAGAACCGAAGCCCCATTGCTCACCAGCAGGCAGCGAACCAGTCTATAAGGCCAGTTGGCCAGGATCTGGGGAATGTGGCCCAGATCCTTGATGCAGATGAACAGACCCTGGCCCACGGAGTGCAGCATCCTGTGGATCTTGAGCACCTCCATGTTACCAGAGGCATCCGTCAGTGGCACATAGCGTTCAGGATTGGTGAGCAGGAGGTAGTAGAACAACCTCCTATTCCTGCGCGACAAGTAGGTCAGGTAGACATACCTCTGCAATTGGGTGTTAAACGTGTCCAAGGTCTTCGCGCAGGCCGTCACCTGTTCATCCATGGTGCGCACTGCCACCGGGAGTAGTCCATGGATGGACAGCACTCGCCTTTCGTTCAGTGTAAAGGCCAGTCCCTTGTTGTAGTTGGTGTTGTTCAGCATCCACAGACCATTTAGCTTGGAGGCCGACAGCCGGGTGTCCGTCCTCCAGAAGGTGTTCAGGTGGCGGGGAAGGGAGTCGATCTTCTGGGACCGCTCAAAATCGCTCACGCACTTCAGCTTGTTTTCCGCCTCCTTTTTCTGCTCCGCCTTCTCCTTGCTCGTCCTGGGCGACTTAACCAACGAGTCCTTGGGCATCCTGCCTTTTTCGGGATGTGAGATGTGTCGGGATATGTAAGGTATAACAACGTGGAATATTACTGACCGAACAAGACCTGAACCAATACTGACGCAGATAGGACCGCCTGCTTGTTCGTCTTGCACTCATTTGCATGCACTGAGAGAAATTGTACTTGCCCTAGTTTTAAATGCTATGCCTCGGGATACTAAACTAGCGTTGGTATGGTTCTAGACTTTATTTGTAAAAATTGTAAAATACCACAATATTAATATTTCAAGTTCATCTATGGTTAGGTAAATAAGGCATGTGCGGATTCACAGGGTGATATAGGGGATAGATTTAAAAAGTATATCTTCTCAACACATGTTTTTTTATAACCCCTTCCCAACAAAAAAATTTTGGATCCGCCCCTGAAAATATTATAAGAATATATGGGATAAGGTTTGTTCAGATCGTAAAAATGTTTTTTTTTTTAAACATTTATCTTTTACGTTCAGGAAGACATAATCTTTAATGAGAACGGAAAAAAAGTAACAAGTAAAAGTAAAAGGAGTGTACAGAATGTAAGTAAATATATGTTCTTTATGAAATTTCAATTATTCATTTTTTTTGCAGTGCAGTAACCCAAAACGTAGACCAAATTTGAGACCGCATTCAGCATCGTCATTCCCCGCGCTTCGCCACATCTCCACTTACATCCACATCCAAATTCACATCCACATCCACATCCACATCCGCAGCCACATCCACATCCATCCGTCCCACCGGGCATTATGCAAATTGTGTTGTGCACTTTGCGGCGACCTCAAACTCGGAGTGACATCCTAAAATGTCGCCACTTCCGCTTCGGATCTAGAACCCCCACACCCCCATACCCCCACCCCCTAGAACCCCCCGCCGAACAAGTTTGTCAGAATTTTGATGCAAAATATCAACAATGTCTAGGGGTCTGGGGTCTGGAGTCTGGGTCTGCGGAACATCAAAGTCTTGGCCGCACCTTTTATGCTAAATACGCGCGACAGACAACACAGAAACAGCCATTGCCATTTGTGGCCATCCCAAGTGCACTTGGCCAGCGGAATCTTAAGTGGAATGGTAATACTTTTTGGCCCCAAACCGAAGATCTCTTATGGACGGGGTGGAGCGGACCCCGGCTGAGCATTAAAAAACAAAGGGAACCGAAAGGCCCGGCCATAAGCGGCTTAATTTCCTCGGAAAATGTCTGGGAACCGGGTTGTTTCGCCCTACTCAACTTGCACATTCCGATAGGACTAACGGGGGGATACAAAAATTTAAATACAGCAAAAATTCCATAACTAATTGGAAGTGGAAAAGCACAATACACACTAGGAAACAGGGACTGGAGACCGGAGACCTTCCGAAATCCAATTATCTACCGAGATGCACAAAACTCTGTGGGAAAGCCGGGTGTTGTTGAAGGATATGTGGTTGGATGGGTCCGATGGTTGGATGGTTGGGGGAATATGCATCACAGGTTCATAATGAAATCAATTTTCAATCAATCGTTCGCATAGCAAAGTAGCAGAAGCAACAGCAGCAGCAGCAGCAGTGTTTTTCTCAGCTCTCCTGGGGGAGACTTTTCCTCCTGTTTTGTTTCGCTTTATTGGGATCCTTGTTCGGGGCTCCCTGCTCCTTGGACATTTGCACTTTTTTCGCATTTGCACTTTGGCCCCTCTGTCTGCCGCCTTTTTTACCTTTTCGCTTTTCGGCCACGGATGTGCTACAAATTGAATTTCTGCCGCGGGACACATTAAGCGATCGCCTGCCTACGGCCTTTGGCATTTGAACATAAAAATTTATGCGATTCGATGGGGGGGGGGAGGTATCGAAATGGGAATGAAAATGGGTGGAGAAATGGGTTGGGGATATGGGGCTGCAGGTGCCCTGCACAAAGAATGTTTATGCGTCGTTTATACGGAACAATTTGAATATTTTATGGACAAAATTCGATTTCGGCTCCCTCTCGTCCAGTACGTGCACTAAAAAAGTTTTGCATATGGAAATTGATTTCCTTTGACCACACATACTCGATAGTCTGCTATAAATACTTGTGCGTCCATGTCGATGTCCAGTTTTTGGTCATTCACACGCACGCTTAGGCAATGCCAAAAACTCTGGTCAATTCGGTGCCTGACAGTTGTCAGGCTGCAGAAAGAAAAAAAACAGAAATTTAGCAAATATACGCCGAGAGCAAACAGAAAAGAACAAAAGTAATTTGCACCTATACGAAAAAGTTTTGAAACCTGGCAATTTATATGCACCACGTGACGCTTTTTTAGAACCCTGCAGCCTCACCTATTACACAGGGAAAACAAAATATCCTCGGAAAATAATAAGCAAATGAAAAAGGGCCTTGTTAATTGATTAATAAAATAGGTAGTGAATATTTGATATCATATCTTCTCAATTAGCAAATTAACGAATTCATTTTCATAGAATAACACACATTGCACATTAAAATTCGATATTCCTTTTTTGTTAATCAAAGTGAAATTGTTTGCCCCTTTTAATAGCATAATAATCTTTTCAATTCACAAATAAACCAGTTTATTTTCAAAGAATAATAAACATTGCGAATTAAGATCCTTATATCCTTTGTTGATAATCAAACTCATTTTTTTTTGCATCTTTTGAAATGCATAACAATCAGAACAATAAAGCATTAAATTTTCTTATAAATATATGTATTCTTTAAAACAATTTTATACCAAAAAAGGATCAATATTTTCTTTCCCTGTACCCATACACAAATAAACGTCACCCTCCATCTTATTATCAAACTGGCTGAAATTGGTAAAATTTTTACTTTGGTAACTTTAGCTGGCCACAAATCAAATCGAATAAACTCCATATGGATTTGGTCGCATTTGCAGCTTAAAAATGCGCAAAACTAATACAGGCGGTTGGCTGCCATAAAAAAAGTGGTCGGCCCTTGGGGAAATTGTTGCAGTTTATCAAATATTTTCGCATCGCGTGTCGTGGCCAGTGCATTTTGGCATTTTTATTGAAATTCTCCATTTATTCAGCGCCCTGGGCATTTAATGAAAGTGTCACACTATTTCACAATTTCAGCATTAACTATTTGGATAATTTATGGGTCTCGATGGGTTTAGAACGAGTGCAATGGAGTGTGGGAGCTTGTTGTTAAAGGGGAAATGGAAGTGCTACTGGTTTCTGGATCCTACCTACCGGCAACTCAAATAAATGTCACATGACTGTCGGTGTTGCTGCTGTTTGCCTTTCGCCCCGAGGCTTGCACAAAACTGCTCAAAGTGAAAAGTCTTAAATAAAAAATTTATAAGCTTAATAAAAGCGATGCAGCAAAGGCACAGAGTGTGGGAAAATTCTGTCGATTCCTTGTATAGCAGCATATACACAAAAATATATATATATATATAAATATACAGAGCACACACGACAAACTTTCAAATCGGGAGCTACGTGCGTCAAAGCCAAAAAGCCCCAACTTTATATCGCGCTTTTCCCATCCTCCCTTGCCATTTTACCCCTGCTTTTACTTTGGCAACTTCAAAAGACTTTTAGCTTATTTTTTAAGTCCACTTTTTTCTTGATGCTGCCCCCTACAGCTAGCTTTTCCTATTTTATTTAATTTAATTTTATTTTATATTTCTTTTGACCAAGTTTGTAGCGCGTTTCTGCTGGTGTCGTTGCCTATTTAACCGGAATTTAGTGTTTATTTGGTTTATACCGGAAGTACAGAGCCGAGAGCCCCCGCAGTCCAGCTGAATTATGTAATTAACTTGTTGCACGCTCTTGCAAAAACTATTCGCAATCTGGGCAAAACTAATCGCATGTATCCGGCAAATAATTCCCCCGCAAACGGAGCCGCATTAGTGGCGAATTAAAGGACCCATAAACACGAAATCAGCGCATGCGAAGCGCCTCCGAGGAGCCAAGTCCGCATAAAAATTGTTAACGGAAGCGAAAATTAATTAAGCCACAGGCCAAGGGCAAAGCACGCACTGCCATGCGATGGTGGGAAAACTGTGGGGGCGTTGGAAAAGCTAGTTGCCGAAAAGTGGGCGGGGCAAGTCGGTCATCTGAGTAGGATGCTGCTCGGAAAATATTGAACGCCTGCCCCGAAGACCGTAACGCGCTTTTAGACGTGCTCAAATATTTGCCAAACGTGTCAAAAGCGACGGAACACTCTGCTCTTCAGTCTGAAGGATGGGTTGGGGATTCCCCCAAAACTCCCACCACCCCACCAAAATGCCAAAAACCCCAATTGATTGAAGGTTGCGCAGGCAGTCGGTAGTCGACAGCGTTGACCTGTGTGTAAGGACATAATTTCTGTTTTTGTTACGCTCTGCTGACATCCTTGGCGGGGGCGGAGCTGGAAATCAAAGCCAAACCCGAAAAATTGATTGACAACTGACGGGAACAAGTCGGCGTGGATAAAGTACATATCGATTGATCTGTCCGTCTATAAATAACCCATATCGTAATCAAAATGTCACAGTGGGGGTAAACGTCACATAAATAGGTGTGCATTAAATATGTCGGTTTGGTTAAATTCTTAAATATATATGGTTATTTATAGAAACCAATTTATATCTAACCAAAGTTTTCCAATTGCCGGAATATCAAGAATAATTATAGTAATATGTATTCTATTGAATAGAATAGGTAAAATAGGTTATTATTTATAAGAACCCATTTATATAAATGTTTAAACAATTCTCAGGGTGGAATATAGTAGTTAAGAATTATTATGAGAATCCCTAAAATATATAATTTTTATTTATTGGAACTAATTTACATTTTACGATAGGTATATTTCGAGTTAATTGAATTATAGAGAATGGTTATTAAATTTATTATCATCAATATAAATATAAATTCAGCTTGTTTGTATATAATTTTTGTTTGAAATATAAATGTGTAAGTCTTCTTGTAATGTATGAATTTGTAATAATATAATTATATATGAATGTTTGTTGAATGTGCCAAATCTTTTATGAATATTTACACATAATCCTAATGCAAGCTTCACAGTGAGAAAAAAGTTCTGAATAATAGGCATGCATTAAATGTTGGCTCGGCTTAATCTTGAAAATATAGTTTTTCTTTGATAGAAACCAATTTAAATGATTCCATATACTTCACTTTAACAACAATATAAATAAATGCATATATAAATATATCTATTTCAATCAATATCATAACTATAGTTTGTTAAATGTGTAAACAAAATGCCGTTTATCATGTTCCAGTTTGTGTATCCTTTTCCTTCCAGTAGTTTACTGATCTGCTGACATTTCGATTTTAGAGACATGTACCCAATTAAACAACAGTCCTTCCTACGTGCTGCTAAAGTGCAAACCGAACTGGCAAAGAGAAAACATTAAGTGTGAAACAGATTACAAGCTCGGGAAGATGGGATGGGGGGTTCCTGGGCTCCAGCTGGGGAATCTGGCAAGAAGTTTTTGGGGACAGGCCGCCCGGCAAGGAAAAGGAATCGGGCCTAGACAAGTTAATTTATGGCAGTCAGTGAACCATCCCAGATACTACAGGCAACGTCTGCTGATGCCACAACTCAAAGTGCCCCCTTCTCGGGGCTTTCCACCATGCAATCCCTGCAATCGGATTTACTACTCCTCCGGAACTCTCCCCCTTTTCCACCGATTCTACCCTCCAGTTTTTTTTGTTTTTCTCCGCTGCGGCTGTTTGTGCGAAAACTTTTGCTAATTTGCGGTAATGTTAATGCTGAACTTTGCACAAAATTAGTCAAGTTCTTGGCGCGGCTCGACTTGGCGCTGCGGATTAAGCGCCATGTTACGCCAAAAGTGTTAAGTTGGAAATAAATGTTGACACTTGCGGTAAAGCGGAGCTCTTATGCCGCAACATAAACAAAAGGCGCCTGGCCAGGAAAATCACTTTAAAACACATGGCGTCGAGGGGGGGCAGCCAGGCAGCATGAAATTAACTGGCCTCCGCGTCCTCGTCCTCGTCCTCGTCCTGCCAGGATGCACTTGGTCCTCCTCCTCATCCTGGGACTCAGGTGCGTGTGTACCGCTGACTTTGCCGGACTGCAGTTAATTAAGTCGCCGCCAACTTGGGCCGACGCCACCTTTATGGCAGCTGAGGTATGCCAGCAGCTCACTGAAGTATTCTGCTGGGGCCAAATTAATTTATAAGTTCGGTCCGCTCTACACACTGGCAGAAAACAGGGCAAGGGGTGTGAATATATGCACTGATATAAAAGCTTGGAATAAATAAATATCTGCATGTTAAATTTGAAATTCCATATTAAATATTTAAATGCTGTATATACGTGGCAAACAAATATGGAATATATGGAGTATAAATAAATATCTGCTGAAAATTTTTATATTTCAAAATACAATTTTTAATTTAGTTCAAAAACATTCTAGTCATTACAAAGCATATTAAAAATAATGATTTATTTTAACATATTTAAGCCATGGTGTTAGTCATATGTTCTTAAGGTATTTTTAGTCCGTATAAACAAATATTTCAGATTAAAATAGATGCTATGATATATATTCACTAGAATTGGCTATAGTTTTTAGGTAATAATTGACTTTGAGATTATTTTCTATACCATTTTTTGTAGTGTATCCTCTCGTTTCATTACCGGTGTGTTGCCAAAATCTTTTCAATGTTAAAATTTCTGTGATGCAAGAAATGGGGTCTTTTACCTGTAAGCTAAGAAAATATATGTTCTAAATGTTGGGACAATTGATTAAAGAACTAAAAAATAGATAAAAACGGCGAGGCAAATAGAAATGTTTAAAAACATTCTTAAGAAAAATATTAAAAAGTTTTCGTGACAATACTTTCCATACTTAAGTAGTGATTCTTGGGATTTTCTTAGTAATTAATTGAACCTTACCTAAAATCGAATTAGTCTAAATTTCTCGGAGTGCTGGATAACTGGCCGGGACAATTGTTTACGGTTCCAGCCGAGCCGACACCGGCAAACTTTGAGCCCTCAAAACTTTGCGCTCCAAATTCATAAAGTGTCATACGTTACGGGAAGGCCCAGACCGAGAGACCGAGAGCCCCGTCGTCTGTAGTATAGGCCAAGTTTTAATCAAGTTGGGGGCTTAGCGAAATAATTTATGTAAAAAATTGCGGTGCAACTAAAGTTCGGTCGGCTGACGTTGACGACGATACAATTATTATTGGTTTGTAGGCAGAACAGAGCAATTTGCAGGCTGTGGTGGGATGTGTTCTGTGTTCTGTGGGCCTGTAATAAATCAAGCCAAGTGAATAAATCATATCTGGGAGCACGCAGCGCGGGAATGTGGAGTGTCACAGTTGACACATGCGAAAGTGAGCGGCAAACGGCGACGGCGACGACGACATGAAATAATGACATGAAAATTGACAATTTTATTCCTACTTAACTTGCTGAATGAGCAAATGAATATATCAGCCGGAATGAGTGCGAGTGTGAGTGTGAGTGCGAGTGTGATTGCGGGGATGGGATGGGATGGGATGGGTACATATGCATGTACATATTTTATGCACAGTTTGACAAGCGAGCGAGCTGGAAACGAGACCTGAATGGGCGTCTGAGCGATTGACTGAATGACTGACTGAATGGCTGGGTGAATGACTGACTGAATGGGTGACTGAGTGACACACACAGTGACTAACCGGGTGACATTCCCGCCAGCTGTCAAAGTGTGAATATCACACTCAGGCGCCCGCTGAGTGGGGTGTTTTGGGTGCGCTTTTCTTTGATTTCCATCGGCGGAAATGCAGTTGGCCAGAGTCGCCCACAGGAAGCCCGCCCACTTTGGATAATTTACGAGGACGAAGCGGGGGCTCCTATGGCTGCGAGTCATGTTTTATGGCCTAATCGAAGCCACCGATAAGAACCATAAATCAATATTTTATTTACTACGGATTTAAGCTACACTCAAAGTAAAATGTACCTAACTGAAGCTGAACAAAAAATTAAGTGATAACTTATACGATTATTAAGTTAAGGAATGAGATATAAAGTAAGCAGGTTAGCTTACCAGAAATTCTTTAAAAATGTTATTTTATATTTATTATTATTTATTAAACTATAGAATAATGATATAACAAAATCTATAGAAAGTGAATATAAAGTCTGTATAAAGTCTATATGGCTTTTTAAAAGATTACGTGTTAAATAACTTACATTTTGATCTTTTTAAGTTCCTTAAACTTAAGCTTGCTTGTAAAGTATAGCTTTCCAAATATTATAATTTATTTTCAGAGTGTTGTGACCTCTCTTGGCTGCACCTCGGTCATGAAATCCCCTCCATAACTGATGGTTTTTGTTGAATGCTACTGATTAAATTAAATAATCGCTGGGACAAAACGATTGTCACAGTCTCGAATGGTCTCCAAAGTCTCCACAGATCGGCGGACCAAAAAGTGGCGTGGGAAGAGGCGGCCAGAAGTTCAGAATCGGTGCAGGAGATCACATCGCCGGAATGAATCGCGGTCACCTGGTACTTTTATTGGTTTGTGCCGCTGGCATTTCCCTGGCAATGGGTTTTCCACAGAAAGAATTGATAAGACCGGATAGTGACGAGTCGGATGTGAGTGGCATTGGCTTCGTGACCCTGGATGGAACCGCCAGCGATGAAAGTGACGAAAGTGACCAGGGCAATGAGTCCGATGACTTGATATTCCTGAGTCGCAAGAAGCCGACTCCTGCCAATAATTCCCTCGATCTGAGCGCCTTTGTGGCCCTGATTCCCCTGCAAGAAGTCCAGTCCATAGCTGCGCAGTATTATCACCACGATGCGGAATTCCAAAGGGCGTATGCCTTCCTTGCCAGCAGCGACTTCGCGGACATCAAGCGCAAGATCCTTCAGCTGCCGGAAGTCCTGGAGTTTACCAACTATCTGGGTGCCCATGGTTTGGATGTTGTCAAGGTGATGCATGCGGTGGCGGGGGTGTTCAAACCCTCCATTCTGGGCTCGACTGACGTCAACGGTGCGTATACGTGATTTTTGTGCAATTTTCGAGCTTTAAAAAATATTTAATTTATGTGTCTTAACAACTAAATAATTCACGTGTTTAAAAATTAATTAAGTTAAATATTTAGGTAGACAAAAAACAAAACTTAAACAACGAAAAGTAAAGATTGGTTTCTGCTTAAAACTAGCATCGCTTTGAGAAAACGAAGTTGTCTCTCCAAGCAATTTAACTTCATGTTAACTTTCTCCGACAAATAACAGACTATATCCTCAATGGGAAATCTTACCTAAATCTCTAAAAATGTAAAAATGATAAAATCTCTCGCTAAATAAGAAAATACCATACTTTTTAGAAGCATCTAAAGCCGCAACCACCGAGGATGGCAGCTCCGCCGACGGGGAGAAGCAGAGTGGCCTGCATGGAATGGTGGAGAGGGTCCTGGAGATCCTGCCACAGGACCAACTGTATGCCCTATTTTTCGACGAGTTCGAGAGCAACAAACAGTTCGCAGCATTTGTCGACAGCATTAGCAGTCCAAAGTTTGCCAAAATTCTGAGCGGTTTGCAGGTGAGTCGAAAAACCGGAAACCCCCATGTGGTAATTGTATTTCAGTTGGGGACACGCTTTGTTTGCTCGGGCCCCATCTCCTTCCTATAAATACATATTCTTGGGGGAAAATTGTTTAAAGGAATTCCATTTGAAACGGCCGTGCTCGATTGCCAGGCTCCATAATAATTTACCAAAGGGACGTGAGAAAAATTTCCGATTGCTTTATTGAGTTTTGGCCAGAAAGAAGGTGCAGGTTAAAAGTGGGCTACTTTTATATGCGATTCCGTATACAAATCAACTTCCGTTGATGCCTCAGAATTTTCAAGTGCCACCGCCTTTCTTTTTATGCTTTTTCTGCCGCTTTTCCCACAGCTTTTTCCTTTCGCCTCGCTTCTAATTGGCAATTGAGCTGGGCTACGTGAGGCACATATTTATGAAATCAAATCGCCAGCCAGCAGGCAATTTATATTTATTTTCCCCGGTCCCGAGCCCATACATATATATTTATCAGCCATTCGATGCAGAGTGTTTGTGATAATTGATTTCGCCGCACTGATTCCACGTTTCATCTTCTGCGTTTCAGAACTCATTGCCGCTGCGAAATTTCCTATTTGTCCTGCACAACAACAGCATTTACGTGGAGCGGATTGTGGAGTCTGTGAAATCGTATTTATCCATCTCCAGCTTTTAATTTGCTTAAGTCTTGGGGATTTTTAAAAGCTCGCCGGCATGTTAAATGTGGCAGTTGAACTGGGCAGCAGTGTGGGAGAGTACACAAACTTACAGATTTATCAATATAAAATAAAATACTTAAATTACTTAGGTCCGATTTCTCAAAGTCAGGTAAAAGTTTTCGTTTGTTAACTAACAGGAAGTTAAAATTAACGACAAATGAAAAATTCCCTCAATTGTTTACAAAGGCTGCTATCACAGATAACTTAAATAATCATTGGTAAAATCGGTCCGACAAAAATGTAACTTAATGATAAAAGTTGACATGACATTGAGACAATTGTACTAGTTAATTACCCAACTTCAACAGCAACCTTTAAAAGTTTTTCCAAAAACGTATCGTATCTATTAACCCAACTTATATATTTGTAACTTGGTAACTTTCATATCTCTGTGTCCTGTTTAACCGCCACTTCTTGCCTACCCCGAGCATATGAGAATGGGCCCCCATTTAGTGTGTAATAAACGGAAATCCTTTAAAGACATTCGTTTGTCCTGGTGGCGGGAAATCGATGCGAACTGGAATTATTTAGCAGGAGGCGCCTCCGGGGAATTGACAACGCCAAAAGAAACTTGGGCATATTAATAACATTGCAGGCACCCCCGAAAAAGCTGAAAAAAGAGGGTTAAATGACGTCAAAAGTTTATCTGCGAAAAAAGTTGCCACGGCTGTTGGCTCTGATTTATGCCGCCGAATGCCAGGAGACGCCTTCAACGACGCAACGCAACAGTTGCAACTCTCTTAATGTCGGCGTTTATTTGAATAAACTCCAACTTTGATTTCACAGGCAGCGAGCACGGCAGAGGCAAAAAGTTGCAAACTTTTTCGGTTAACTGATTTCCACACAGACCCACACCTGCAGCCTCCTCGCTTTTGGTGGGCAAAAAAAAGGTACAGGGTGGGGAAAACAAAAAATTATTTCGTTCTCGCGCCCCCCAGGAGACTCATAATTTAGCGGGAGTATATCAATAAATTACGCATGCAGCAGCAGGTGGAGAATCCCAGCGGTTGGGGGTTGCTGCCACAGATAAAAGTATTGAAAAAGTATCCAATTAACTGCGTAGCTATGATGCAACTTTGACCATTCCATTGCTGCTCCCTCGGTGGTGGCTTCTGCCTCGCTCGAGACTTCATCTCATCTCATCTCATCTCGGGTCGTCCCAGGTTAAGTCACCCCCGACATAAGGTGAGCGTCAGCCATCAAGCGGCAGACGGCAGGCATCAGGCATTCGACATCAGGCTCCATTAATCAATTACAGCCCAACCAGGCAACAATCCAGCCACCCACAGCAGCCACCCAACCATAACCCATCCGGAGATCACACTTGCCAACTGTTACTAACGCCTGCACTCGAAGAAATTACTGTTTTGTGAAGTCATAATCAAAATAAACAGGGAAAAATGATAACTATTTATATTGAGTGGTTACTTCTACAATAATACTTTAGTTATCTATAGATTGGTGCACTACTAGGTATCTAGAACCTGGAATATAACAGCTAGTTCACTCTCTTTGTATCTATGTATGTATCTATGTATCTATGTATCTATGTATCTATGTATCTATGTATCTATGTATCTATGTATCTATGTACATATCTATGTATCTATGTATCTATGTATCTATGTATCTATGTATCTATGTATCTATGTATCTATGTATCTATGTATCTATGTATCTATGTATCTATGTATCTATGTATCTATGTATCTATGTATCTATGTATCTAGGTATATATGTATCTATGTATCTATGTACATATCTATGTATCTATGTATCTATGTATCTATGTATCTATGTATCTATGTATCTATGTATCTATGTATCTATGTATCTATGTATCTATGTATCTATGTATCTATGTATCTATGTATCTATGTATCTATGTATCTATGTATCTATGTATCTATGTACATATCTATGTATCTATGTATCTATGTATCTATGTATCTATGTATCTATGTATCTATGTATCTATGTATCTATGTATCTATGTATATATGTATATATGTATCTATGTATATATGTATCTATGTATATATGTATCTATGTATCTATGTATCTATGTATCTATGTATCTATGTATCTATGTATCTATGTATCTATGTATATATCTATCTATCTATCTATACTCTATTTGTCTATCTTTCTTAATAAAAATGCAAAACAATAATAGACTAAACATCAAACTAATAAGAAGACCACCGTATTTATTATTAAAAAAAAGGTTTTTATAACTTTCTTTAAGCTACAGAACTATGAACCTTAGCAAAAATTTTAAATTAAGTCAAAATCCGAGTTTAATGTCAAAATTGCGAGTCCAAAAAGCGGTCTCAACTATTAGAAAACATTCGTGAAACCCCAACAAAATCCTTGAGTTATTTCTTCAAGTGCCTTGCAGGACGAAATCCAATCTCCTGCAACCAGAGCAGGGCAATCATCCGACCTGCCACCTGGGCGACACACTTCATTCGATTGTCGAGATTGTCGGAGGCTTAGATTGATGCCCGACGGCTTGCCGAAAACTCTGCGAAACAATTTCAAAATTTCAGTCTCTGAAGGGAAATCAAAATCAGAATCCAGTGGAAATGACTGTGCTAACGGGAGCATCATCCATGGGATTTCCCACTACGATGCCGGCGAAGCGGATCAGCTGGCGGCGATTGGCGGCCCTGCTGCCGCAGTCCATAGTGGTGCCATTTAACTCGGAACGGGGAACGGAGATCCCGAATTTTAAAGATCTAATTCTCCTACAGCGACGTCTTCAGGATGATTTCCTGGCCTGTGAGGCTCTGTGGACGATTTTCGTGGCCGCCGCCTGGAGTTATCGTTACAGGACGAGACTGAGGCCTCTGCCCAGCCACTGGGGAACCATAGACCTTCTATGTAACACCCTTGGCGAAGCACCCAGATTGGAGGCACTGCAGCAGCAGCTCATGCACTGCGATTACCAGGCCTGCTCCCCCAATGTGGTTTGTTTGCTGACGGACGTATTGGTGGATCAGGCCGATCGCGTGTCCTTGAGCTCCCTGCGACCCTGTGAGTTTGGTGAGCTGTACGCCCACCTGGGTATGCCACCTCCCAGCAGACCACCCACCCAGATCTTTGAGGTGCGAATGGGCGGGGGAAACCAGAGGGGGGAGTCCTACGCCCAGTTGAGGCGGGATAATAGGGAGTCAGTTCGCCTGGGCTTCTATGGCTGCAAGTTGGAGAAGCTGTACGCCCTGCTAAATGCTAATTCCCTGAATGATGGAAGGTTTCTAGAACTAACCAGCGATGTGAATGAAGCTCTATCCAAGAGTAAGCCGCAGGCTGGAGTGGGTGGCTCCCGATGCGGATCCATCCTACGCTGCGTGGCCGTGGTGGAGTTCGTCTTCCAGGACAATGAAACCAGCCCCGATAAAAGGCATGTGATCATCAGGGATGCCGAAACCATGCAGGTATCCTATATCCTCCTATATGGCCAAAGTTGCCACGAACATGCGGCTGAGAAGCAAATGCAGCTGTTGAGGGAACCTGCCAGGAAACTGCTCAATTGGCTGGAGGACCACCAGGATGAAGCCATTTCCTTGGGCGTCAGTCTGCTGATCGTTTCCTCGATGGCCCATTTTGGCTGCAATTTCTTTCGCCTCTTTGCCCGAACCGGCTTTCACGTCTTCAAGCGGGGATTGCTGTGAAAATTGATAATCGTAAACTTTTATCCCACCAACTTCCATATCCAGTGACCTTGAACTGCTGCAGGGTTTTGTTGCCGACTTCAGTTGGATTTCCCACTGAAGTTGGCCACAAAAACCGGTGGCAGGGCATCAAGTTATGTGCGAAATGAAATCGATTTGTGTCTTTAACTCTTCTCACAGATTTTATCTTCTATTGCGGAAGTTGAGGTCAAGGGGAGGGGGTTGTAAAGTGGCGGACCTTGGCTTTACAGTGCCCACATAAATAACAACAATTTAGCATTCACAAGTGACGCAGTAAAAATTTATGCGCTCTCGCACATTTTCAATTTTCTGCAATTTTTCTAGCAATTGTGTGAAATTCCTTGCGGCCATTGGGCAGCAGCAGCTCCAGCAGACGATGCATGTGGCAAGGACACGGACGGATTTGTGTGTGTGCGTGTGAGTGGGTATGCACTGAGAGAAATTCGAAATATTATTTTTGAACTGAAACTAAGAAATGTCATTTATAGGTTTTTGTATCAGACTCTGTCGATTTAATATTACTTAAGAGCTACTCTTGTTAATAGAAAAAGTAAGAAATTATTTAGGAAACATATTAAAATATTTAAGATCTGATAAATAATGAATATTAAAATCCACAAGTAAACAAAATGTCGCATTACCAATAATGCATTAAACATTGTTTTGGGATAACAAGAGCACAAAATTACGAATTTAAAAGCAGCATATTTATTTTAAAAACTACTTTGAAACTTCTTATAAATTAAAAATAAAAATCGCAAATAAAGATTCTATATGTTACATTTAATATTTATAATAAAAACATATTACCATCTAGAAAAAAATTCATTAACTTATATTTCTTTTTTTTCTTAAATTTGAAATTACATTTATCAGTTTCTATATATTTACCCCTACCTAAATTCAAGGACAACCCCTAGGTTTTATTTAAAGTGCACGTTCTGTGAGCATTATGTGCCGCCGGACACTTTTAGGGCCGCACAATTTAGAGACTTGGCCGGGCTAGATTTTCCATTCCATTTTTTGAGCACGCTTTTCTTTTTTTGTGTCATGGAAACCCGCCAGCAATGTGTGTTCGTGTGTACTTATACTCGAAGTATGTGTCGCTGGCTGGCTCCGCTTTTTACATATGCTCGTCTGCTCGTTGCTGCAAGAAGTTATGCCCGGAATGCCAAGCTGCCGTTCGATGTCCGGGCTTTTGCCGCCGCTGGTCAGATGGTCACATGGTATCATGGTCGCATGGCCACATGGTATCATGGTCCCCTGGTCTCCTCGTCTCATGGTCGGATGTTTAGATGGTCGGCGGGACATTGTTGGCATTTTGAGGCGTTGCTTGTGCGAGACATTTTTGCCAGCCATATTTCATTGAATTTACATGCCCGACTCGGGGTTTTCGCCGCCTGTTTGTGCTGCAATTACCGTAAACTCTCCGCCGACGCTCTATCAGTGCTGATTTAGACCCCATTTTCCGCTCCTTGGGACCACTTTTTGGGCCCGGCTGACAGTTCCCAGCAACCATTAATAAAGGCACACATCAAAGTTGGCATTCGCCACATAAAATTCAATTTAGTGACAGCGACACCAAGTAAAAAGGCCATCCCCCGAGTGAAAAGCCAAGCCGAGATGCACATTAGCATGAGTGCACGGGGAAAAAACAGCATCTTGTTATTCAATTTGAGTTTAAAGAATATTTAAAATTTATTAAAATATTTGTAGTGCCAATAATCATACATATTTGGGCTATAAAAGAAACATAGATCTTCGATCTTCGATCAAAAATTTAAGTACTTAATTTTTAATTTAAGCGAGGGGAGTTCTCAACTATCCAAACAAGAAATCTAAAATTTACTTGGTTTTATATATTACTCCTAATTTGCATTTTTTAGAAGGCTTTTAGGGATATAACAGCTATTTTAAACTCATTTTTTCAAATATTTTTTGGAACATTTGGGAGCTTATTTTTGTTAAGTGCGCCGAAGGGCAGGGGGAGTTAAACAGGTTGGAGTGGATAACAGATGAAGGGAAATAGAAAGTTCACCCACTTAGGTCCTGCACTCGAAACTGGAATCAAAATAAATGTCAACGCTGCTGTCACACAAAGCCAAACCGATTTCTACCCCGCTTTCTCCATTTCACCGAGCTTTGCAGTAAGAAAGAGAGTACCATGCCATACCATCCCCCGATTTCCTTAGTTCACTGCTTGGGGTCGAAGTTTTTGACTTCCTTAATGACAAAGTGTGGTGACGTTGGCTTCCCTGCATCCACAGGATGAAGATGCGGAGGATGATGAGGATGTTGATGTCGATCTCCATGCGGCAAGGACGTTGATGATGCAATTTCCCTGGCAGGAGTAGCCCAGCCCATTGTTCGTTTTGTTAATCTAGCAAAATTGATAAGGTGTGAAATTCTTGATTTTATTTTCTGCTTCGTGCGCACCAAAATGTTTTTCTTTCTTCGAACCTTTCTTCTCGCTTTTGATTTTCCTCCCCCACCCGGTTATTGTTGGGGTTTTTCCTGTTTTTACTTTTTGGGGCGGCCTTTGATGTTCTTTGATGAGGTGTTTGTTTAGTTTTTCCTCTCTCTCGATTTTTTTTTTGATGTTTCGGCGCTGTAAACGCAATTTGGATACGATTCGGGCGGCAAAAGCCCAACCTGTCTATCACGCTTTTTTCCTTTTACATTTTAAACGAAATTTAATCCAGTTTGTGGCAGCGCAACAGCACCTTCTGTCATACGCTTTGAAATTTAAATAAGCAAGGAAATTGACTTTGCAGCGACGGCGGAGTCATAAGAACATGCCACATAACTGGCAGTCAGTCAGACAGAGTTACATTCGGTTTTCCATGCGTTTTCCGATCGTTTTCCCTGGGCACCGGCTTAATTATTGGCCCGTCAATTGCACAAAGAGAACCAGCAATGGAAACCGAAACAGAAGCAGAAATTGTTCAAACGCTGGCCGGGCATAAATTGATTTGTACCGACACGGGAAAAAAGTGTGGCCACCGATTGTGCGGGGTTTAATGGCTGGTGGCATGGGTGCCGGGAAACCCCCGCCAGCGAAATCCAGTTAAAGTGCAACATGCCACTCACTTGAAGTTCCCCCAACGTTCGGCAAAATTCTCCATTGAATTCGATTCAATTCACTGCGATTCCGTACGATTCAATAGATTCAAGTGGGTGTAGCATCCACTCCTGCACTGGGGGATTGTTTAATTATTGGAAATACTCGCACCGAACTCAAAGGATTCCCATTCTCCTGAATGTGGTGGTGTGTTCACCTTGGTAATCAGTGCATTAGCTGCATCCGCCATTATGGCCAAATGCAAACTTCAAGTACTTCGCCCTCAATCAGGTGTCCATGTCCATTGCTTAGTGACCACAACATGAAGAGCCTGATGGCCGAGGGCAATCAAGATTGCACTGCAATAAAACACTCAAAACTATTTTATTCTAAGAAATATATTTCTCAAAAATAAAATAAATTTAATTTATTACAAAAATGGTTTTTAATTTAGTGATATTTTTATAAAACTTAACACTTTGGCAAAATTTATGTATACTTAAAAGGGTTATACATTTAAATATGAATTATTATGTGATTTAATTCTAAGTCAGAAGCGTTACTAAAAAGCTTAAGCATTAATATGGATTATTTAAAGGGAATATTGAAAATTTAACTGAAAATTAAATATGAATGTCATATATTTTTAAAGATTTAATTTTATTTTGATACATTAATTAGTTGTCGTTCATCAGATAATATTTTTGAACGATTTCAAGTTCTTTACTTTTTATTTTTAAGGAGAAAACTGAAAATTAAACTAAAAATAAACAGAAAATTAAATATGAAAGTGATATATTTTCTAGGACTACATTTTATTTTAATACTCCAATTAGTTCAGTTTAATAAGATAATATTTTTGAACTATTTTAGGTACAATAGTTCTCTTAATATATTTTTACCGTGTCGGATTGGCTCCGAGATTGGCTGAATCTCAGGTTGATGGCATATGGCGGAATGGGGCGCAGAGATCAAAGTGCCCCTTTGACTCGCTCAAGTGGCCACGCAGATAATGCCGGGCACAAAGGGTCGTGGTCGTATGACGGTCTGGACGACCTAATCGCCTCAGCAGCAGAATCAGCAGCAGCAGCATGTGGAGCGTGGAGCAGCTGCCACGGCTGCCAAAGCTGCAGATTGCGCATACGCAGTGTGGTTGCGCCGCTTAGGTTTATTTGTCACGCAGCTACGGCCCTCCAAATTGATTTAAAATCCTCCTGATGGCAGCATAATTCGATGTCGGTCTGCGGGGCTGGCATTTTGGCAAATTTCATTTGCTCTGCAAACCCAGTTAGTTGGCAAAGTCGCGTCGAAAGTTTCCCGGCTTTGGCCATTTCCGCATATAACCCCCATATAACTCAACACCCTTGAAAAAGGCATCATGTGCAAGCGCTGTCTGCACTTGAAACCGATTAAATATAAATTAATATAAAACATTTGCATATTGATTGCGCTATTTAGCGGGGAGACGGAGCACTATCAAGGCTAAAGAGTGAATGACATGTTAAAGATGCATTACTTTTTTATTTCTTAAATAGTTTATACTATTGTTTTCACTGCTAACCAATATTTTAGATCAAAATTCTTTATTTTGTAATACTGTTTTGATTGTACATTTTACTTAAACATTTAAATTACCTGCAGGGTTTATTATTTTAACAACTTTCTAGTCATAAATTTATTATGAAGGACTTTTTAAAAAGTGTGGTTCTATAAAAAACCATTTCATTTTAATACTTGTGGCCTAGTACTAGTGCTACATAAAAGCCACTTTAGAGAACCTTTAATTTATATTTTTTGCTATGTGCCGAGCAACATGTTTCGGCAATTGAAAATTTTAACGACCACGGAGGCTGTCATCGAGCATGTCAAAACAAATAAATTCCGACCGACCCCGACCCGAACCCCCATCCCAAACCCATCCACCTACTTTCGACTAACAGAACTCATGTGCTCACCGCTCCATGGGGGTGGCATATTTTTAATGCGTTTATGCTAATCGAGCGGATTTCGATGCGGCTTGCCTTGTTAAATGTGCCAAGGCTGGACGTGTCGGGAGAATAGGCATTTGGATTT